TCTTGCAGTCTAAAAATGTTTGCGTTTTATCTTCTTTCAAAAGTAGCGCTGTCATTCCGATTAAAAAAGCAGCTTCCTGAGGTCTACCAGTAGTCTGACTTTTCTACCAATAGAGCAAACTCTCATATGCGAATTTCAAGGCATGACTATGTTATAAACATAAGCCTTTTCAGGATCTAGGAGCAAATATACCATCTCAGATCAGACTCAGATAATTCTTTACTATTCTGATTGACAGCAAAAATTTAAGTCTCGTTTCTACAACCGGAGCAAAAGTCAGCCTAGTCCTCTGACGCCCATAGATATCTTTGTTAGATGCAGGTCACGCAAACTTAATCAGCAGAATTGAATATAAACATGTCCGGATTATTCTTTAATACTCTTTTTTTCGAAACCCTTCCAACTGCTGCGATTCGTCGCAATGTAGATGCGTTTCTAAAGATCCTCGTAACTCTGAATACTGAATCAGATCAGATCAACATGAGGCATGAATAAAATGTAGAGATTTTATGGAGAAAGCGGGCCGGCTGGATTCAACTGAATTGTATTCCATTCAATATAGGTGGTCTTCCTTTGCAACATCAGGAAAGATGCCCAGACCAACCACTTCAATTCTACCGTCTTGCTGGCACCACTGTACGGATGTGAGACGTAGTGACTTCACTAAAGCCGAAGAGCGTTAGCTATTTGTCACCTAGAGAACCATAGAAAGAAGAATGTTGGCAGTTTCACATTGCGACCACATTCCTAACAGGGTCATGAACCAGCGTACGGTAGCAAAGGACGCTGTCGTCAAAAGTAGACAGAAGTTACGGTGGGCCGGGTATGTAGTTCGGCTCACTGACCAATGAGATCAACGGAGAGCACTGATTGGTACACTTTCAGGGTGATTATGCCAGTTGGTCGCATACCACGAAGGTGGAAAGATCATATTGGGTGCCCCGAAGGCCACGCTTGGAGAGTGAAGGCCTAAAACCACGAGGAGTGGCGAGCCCATGGCAACCGGCGTGATTCTGCACCGATCAGTCCAGGCAACGCTTAACGCAGTATTGTTTTGATTGCTTGTAAGTTTCATGTTGTTATGGTGTCATGTCGATGCAGCTTTTTCTCGTGTCTTGAATACCTACACAAATCAGCGTGAATCTGAGCATGTATAGAAAGTAATGGTCTGAAGAAGAAGAAGAAATTGTATTTTTGTGCGAAGACGGTAACCTTACTAAACTAAATATTTTTAACTATGCCTTCATTAACACAGAAAGGAACATTCTTTGTCCTGGTTGTCAGAAATTGATTGCCGTACTTCTCTCTGAGTTAATGCGCTATTTTTCTGTAAGGAGTCAAGAGACATTGGGAGCACTTGAGGTGAATTTATCGAATTGAAGGAACGCACCGCCAAGACATATGTAGCACCTCAATGTCTTCCTCGCCAAGACTTATGCAGCACTCATGAAGAGAAGGATCTGGTTGTGAACAATTGTGTGCAAGGCGAGAGGTAAATTTGTAAATAGTGGTGCATTTTGTTTGTTGTTTCATCACACACATTTGCAGCCGTTTTTACCCAGTGCCACTGAGTGATTAGCAATTAATTCTAATTTAGAAACTTCTCTATTTCCTTTGGCTGCACAGGAAAATAATCGATTTTAGCGTAAGTAAACCGTTTCGAACAGTCAATAATTAAATCACTGAAAAATATTTTATACGTGAGCAGTCGAATGTTAGTGAGTTTTACAACTTTAAAGCGGCTTGTAACAACTACTCAAAATAAAACAGTTTGACCTAGACGTTCCAAACAAACGTTTCACTATTCTTCGTCAGCAGAGTTTGTTTGAGTGCTCACCGTTGTTCGGTTGACTTTGTTCAACGGATAATGTCGACAGAGACAATGTAATAGCGATCAGTGAGAATTGGAGCAGGGCGATAAAAAAATGCTGGAAAAGCCATATAGCCGACGAACTGCGGTGAACATCGCCCAGAAAACGAACAACCTATGGAATCGTACATACCATGCTGATGAAAAAATACTGTACGAAACGTTCTAGTTAACAATTTCTTTTCTGTTAATAAACTTTTTTGCCTGTTTCAAAGTAGTTACAAAAAATAATCAAACCAAGACCAATTATGATTCGATACTTGATGTTACCAGCAATTTTGAAACACAGACTTCAGTGACTCAGTATGTGAGGGATAGATAGGAAGTTCGATGACAGGTCAGAACGTTTATGGTTTTGATTAGTGCCTCTATTTGCTTACATATTGCATCAGGACGGGGCAGATGGGGGCAGTTTATAGGCTATTGCATTTTATGGATCACATTTGAAAAAGATAACGACTGAATTGCTTAGTTCACATAGTGTTCACAGTTCAGCATGTAACTTACGACGAATCGCCTTACGGTAAATCTACTTAAAATTATGGAATCCCAGTCAACGAGCCGCTGAAACTGTCTGAGAATCCATTACGCCTTTAAAGCGCTATTTTGTAGGCATTACACTTACCCATATTGCAAGGCCATTCGAATAAATCCTCTCCTTGATTTCAACACCAAATCGTACGTGCCTGGATGTGCGTTAATCATC